CGCCGGACCAGTCCAGCAGGGCTGTGAGCGACCACGCCTCGTGCCAACGTCGTCAGGATGGACACGTGTGTTTGTGTGTGTGTGGGCCGGGGGGGGGGCGCTAAACGAAACGAATAAAGAAATAAAGATAAAACGGTGGGTGAAAATCAGCGTGGCGCATTGTCCTAATTGCAGTCATCATTATCGTGGTTCTCATTACGATTGGTCGCCGCCACCCTACCCGGCCGCACCAGTCCGACGAAGCCGACACAAAATGACAGCCAGGAGGAAAAGGCAGAGAGTCACGGAGCGCAAGCCGGTTGGGGCTCCAAGTCGAGGCGAGGTGGCACGAATGCAGTTCGAATGCAGCCGGACGGAGCCACCGCCGCCACCGAATTAATCAATACAGTTCGGCGACGACCCCGCCGAGGCGAGTTCCCTTTGCGCGGGGCTGGGCACATCCCGGCACAGCCCGGCAGAGCCTCACCTGTTCACCCCGAACAACAACGACAACAACAACAACAGGCCCGCGACAAGTTTCGGCGGAACTAAACTACAGTGGCCTGCGCTCGCTGCGCGACACAGACAGGCAGGCAGGGCACGCCGCGCCGCAGTGCGGGCACGGGGCACTACACTTTGAGGCAACTTGGCTTTGCTCCTCGATCACCATCACGGCAGTCGCGTGTCCTCGCCACGGAGACGGCCAAGCACGACGACATTCCTCGTGATGGGCCCAGCCAGTGATGCAGACTGCCGCGCGCTGCGGCACTTTAAAGCGTCCACGACGTCCCGAAATCGCCGTGTTCTTCTTATCAGCGCCAGAAGGTTTCATTCCGTTGGACGGCCAGGGCGTTCGGGTGCCATCGGAGGGCGTGCGGGTGCCATCGTAGGGCGTTCGGGTCGGGCCGTCGCCGGAAGGCGAGGCGGGGCGGGGCGCCAAGGGCACCACATCCGCCGTGACGCCTTCGGCGCGGCCTTCGAGGCCCTTCTCCAGGTGCTTATTGCTTCTCAGCACCCCTTTCTCTTCCCCCACACCGCCACCTGGACTATTTCCCCCCCCCCCCCGGCCAGGGCCGCCCCGTCCCGTCCGCCGCGTCCAAACTGCAGCGACAGTGGCTGGACGACATCGCCACCACTGCCTGATTCAATCTGCCGGGTCGTTCCGAAACGGCGCTCCGTCTCTCTCGCACTCCCATCGCGAGCGCCAAGTCAGCCCTGAGTGCGGGGGAGACAGAGAGAGAGCACTGCTGGCGGCGTCGGAACGGCCGCGTCATGTCCTCGACGTCGCCGTGATTAATTGGCGTGGCGAGGCCGTCCGCATTGACACACGACGCGATGACGACCAGCAACAAGAACAACGACAAGTAAACGCGTCCCCCTCCATGGGCTATGTCGCGGACCGACCGCGGGCGGAGCCAGGAAGCCAACCACCCCCGTCAAGAAGACGCGGCGAGGAATGAACGACGTAAACGCCGCCAGGGCGCCGCCAGGGCGCCGCCAGGTGCGAGGCACAGCCTCGACCGCCACGGCCTCGGCCAGCACGGCCCCTTCGCTCGGCCTTGGCTTCCCGGCCCCGCCCGTTCCGGCGTTCCGACCCGGCCAACAAGACCGTCTCGCAGCAGGCGTGAGAAGAACACGCGTCGGGTCGGCCCTCCGCGCCTATATCTCCGGGCGGGCCCCGCACCTGTGCACACACCCACAGCACGGCCTTACACCGCCCTATTGCCGCCCGGCAGGCAGGCCGGCCGTTATTTGCACGACGCCAGCAAGCCGACTGCGAATAAAGGGGACGCTGCACTGCCACATTACCAGGGTACGGCACGGCGCGCCGGAGGGGAGGGCGGCATTTTATTCGTTCGAAAGGCCATCGCGTCCCTTGCGCTACGGCGCCCGCCTGCTTCATGAACACCTGGAGGGCCTTCAGGGCCTTGAGGGCCTCGCAGGGCGGCGACGGCCGGGGTGTAAAAGGGCTGGGGGTGTTTCGCTTGGGCAGCGCGGCGCAGCGCCCGCGTCCTCGTGCTCATCGTCATCGTCCCCGTCGTAAAACGGGAAACCGGCAAACGACCAAACGAGGTGCGCGTCGCGGCGGAGCGGCCTGCCCGAAGGTGTCCGAACCGAAGGTGTCTGAACCGAAGGTGTCTGAACCGAAGGTGTCTGAACCGAAGGTGTCTGAACCGAAGGTGTCCGAACCGAAGGTGTCCGAACCGAAAGTGTCCGAACCGAAGGCGTCCGAACCAAAAGCGTCCGAACCAAAGGTGTCCGAACCGAAGGTGTCCGAACCGAAGGTGTCCGAACCGAAGGTGTCCAAAGTATCCGAAAGAAGGCGCACGAAGGTGTTCCAAATGTCCCCGAGGATGTCCGAAAGCGCCCGCGGCAGCCCACCCCGCCCCCTGCCGCCACCGCCGCGCCGCCGCGCCACACCCTTCAACTTCAGATACTTCTTGCGAGACAAGGGCTGCTTGGGAGAGGCGACATCTGCACGTCGGGGCGACGGCTTCCATCAGCTGCCGCAAGTGGCGTCTCCGGTGCCAAGGCGGTTGTGGGGGTGGCAGGGGCGGCAGGCCGGCGGCGCCAGGCAAGAAGAAGCAGAGCCAGCCGGCCGATTCTGAAAAGTGCTCTGTCGCTCCCGCACCGCTACGCGCCGCCCCACGAGTGCGAGAGAGACAGCGAGACCGCTCGGAGGCGGCCCGCTGAGTGGCGTCCCGTCAAAAAATAGCCGCGCGGCCACACGCCGACGGCGGCGTCCTCGCGATGAAATTAATGGTCAGCCGCTCTATTCATTCCCCAGCGAGACGGCATGACAATCGTAATAAAATTTGAGACAAAAAAAAAAACAACACAATCCGAGCAAAAGAAAAGGAATGGGAAAAAAACAAGCGCGCGTGGTTCGCGACGAGCGGCACGGCGAAATCAGTCATCTCTTCTGCTCCGTTCCGCAACGAAATTAGTTCCCCGCCGCGCCGCCGTGGAGGCCGTGGCGGAGGCCATGGCGGAGGCCCTGACGGCGAGACCGTGGCAAAGGCGATATGGACGAGGGAAACGGTGGAAAATAAGGGGGAGGGGCACGACTTCGCCCGACTTCGCCGCTCCAACTTAGGACGTTCCTCATTCTGCTAAAATAAATTGTTTTGCGTGGCGCGCGGCGGGGCCTGGCGGGGCGTGGCACGGCGGCAAGGTGGAGGCAGCACCGAGACGACTTCGAGCCGCCGGGAACACGCAGCAGGCAGCAGGTCGCAACACTTTTTAATTTGGAACAGCAAACGGAGGGAATCACTCGGCCGAGACTGCTGGTCCCTGGCCGAAGAGGGCGGGAGGTCGAGACCCTCGTCCGTCTTACCACAACAGACTGATTCCGAGAGTCGTTTCCGTCGCTCTGTCTCCCTCGCACCGACACGGGACACCCAATGAATACGAGAGAGAAAGAGGGGTGAAAACGACTCCCGGAATCAGTCTGCAGGAAAAGCTCCAGACTCGCAGAGGCCAGCGTGATCGTCGCTCCACGCGATTCTCCTCGACCGGTTCGGCGCTCGATCTCTTCCGGTTCCGGCTCGCCGGAGCCGCATGAGAGAGAGAGAGAGAGAGAGAGAGAGAGAGAGAGAGAGAGAGAGAGAGAGAGAGAGAGAGAGAGAGAGAGAGAGAGAGAGAGAGAGAGAGAGAGAGAGAGAGAGATGGATAAGAGGTGGCCCCAGGCGAGTGGGCAGAGCGTGCCCCTCAGGGTACCGCGGCCACCCCACCCTTCCAAAGCCCGGTCCAGTCGCCCGTCCGAGATTAGTCCACGGTTCGCTGGAGTCGCTGGGGCTGCGAGCGCCGGCCGAGCGAGACCCACAGGATCAGCCGGCCCGCCGGCCCGCCCCGCAGTCGGACCCGGGGCGCGGCCGCCTGCTTAAAACACAGTTTACCGCTCGAATCTCACAAGACGGATGAGGGCGCAAGCAAAACTTTTCACCAATTCTAAATTTCAGACTCTACCCTCGACGCCCACCCCGGGAAAAAAAAAACTGGCCAAACTGGCACGGCGTACTATTAATATGCGTCAACGAGCAATGCCCATCTTACCCTGCCCGGGCCAGCCAAAGCAGGTCTCTGAACATGGATGTTTCCCTCAGCTTACACTGAAAACGTAATGGTCGGACACAGCCAAATTATGGCGTGACAAAGAGTAACGCCACTAATTGGCGTGACACAAAATTCACGCCGAAAAACGGCGTGACATGTGAGTCACGCCCTCATTTGGCGTGAATGACGACGCTTTTTATGAGAAATGTCATGCCAAAAAGCGGCATGACAAGAAATTCACGCCAAAAATTGGCGTGAATTTTTGAGTCACGCCGATTTTTGGCGTGACTTTTCTGTCATGCCGTTTAATGGCGTGACACTTCATTCACGCCCCTACAGCGGCACGAAGTCACGCCGATAGATTTTCAGTGTACGGGACGCCCCGTGAGTGCGAGAGAGACAGAGACGCAGAAGCGGGGCGCGGAGCTTAAATTTCCAATCAAACTCGGTGCCCGCTCCGTCCTACCCACCCAGTGGCGTCCAGTCCGAGCCCAAGGCCCGACCCGTCGAAGCCGTCGACACACCGGGACAAAACAATAATTCATGCGCTCGGCTTGTTTCGTTCGGACGGATCGGGGCGAGCGAGTGGGTAATCCCCAAGCCCAGCCGGCTGCCTGGCTGGCTGCCTGCCCGGCTGCTTTGCTTGCCCGGGCGGCAGCGCGCGGAGCGCCCGACCAAGCGGGGATAGGCAGCGCGCGCAACGCGGGCGCGCGGCGGGCTGGCCTACCCTCGCCTCCGCAGGCGCGCTGCCTTGGCACCGACAGCCGCGACCTGCAGGCACACTGCTTCCGGGAGTCGTTTTCGTCGCTCTGTCTCTCTCGCGCTCATGGGGCGTCCCGCGTAGGTTGACGACAGAGACAGAGCGACGAAAACGACTCTCGGAATCAGTCTGCTGCGGCGCGCACTCACCCCTAACTGACCTCCAACTGGCAGAAAAAAAGGAAAGCGACCGGAACATGACTCACCTAAGCACCGGAAGGGCTTCACCATGGCCGAGTGCTTGCACTTCTTGTGGCCCAGGCGGCACCAGCCGGTCACCTTGACGGAGTGGGACGCCTCCACGATGTTGGTGATGTCCCTCTTGGGGTACATCTGCAAAAACAACAAGAAAACGGCGTTGCAATATCGACATCGGGAAGAACATCAACAAAAACAACAGCAAACACAACGGACGTCCGCACGGGTCGCTCGCCAGGCTGCGCCGTCACGCCGCCGGGCAGCAAGCCAGCCGGCCAATGAGTGAATGTCACAACCTTCACCCAATCCGGGGAAAGTTCATCCCCGAAAGGTCGCGCGCCCCGCGGCCCGGCCCGGCCCGAGGGCGAAATAAAGAGCCGCCAAACTAATCTGAGGAGGAAAGCGGGAAGGGCGAAAGGCCCTGTTCATTGGGAAGCTCGTATTAACAAGTTGAATGGGGCGAAGAGGGCCAGAGGGCCGGGACCAAGGCCGGGACCGCCCGCGAGGCGAGGCAGGGCGGGGCCCACCTCGACACAACTCGGACAGTTTAATTTGTTGGGAAGAAAATCGCGAGCGGGGGACAAACACACCGGTCGCCGAGCAGGCATGGAGGTGGAGGTGGAGGAAGAGAAAGAGGAAGAGGAAGAGGAGTGAGCGGAGAAAGGAAAGGAAGAGAAGAAGAGGATGAAGGAGAGGAGGAAGAAGAGAAGAAGAAGAAGATGAAGGAGAGGAGGAAGAAGAGAAGAAGAGGAGGAAAAGGAAGAGGAGTGAGCGGAGAAAGGAAAGGAAGAGAAGAAAGAGGATGAAGGAGAGGAGGAAGAAGAGAAGAAGAAGAAGATGAAGGAGAGGAGGAAGAAGAGAAGAAGAGGAGGAAAAGGAAGAGGAGGCGAAGAGAAGGAAGAAGAGGAGGCGAGGAGGAAGAAGAGGAGGAGGCAGAGGAGGGGGAGGACGAAGAGGCCGTCCGGCGGGCCGACGACCCCGGGCAGCAGCACGCAGCAGCACGCAGCAGCAGCACGGCGGCACCGCCACTCAAAGGGCCGCGCTCCTCACGAGTCACTCGGATAGAGTACTGCGGCGGAAATCTAATTAAATTTCGCGGCGCCGAGCCGCGGACCGAGCGAGAGCCTGGCTGCCTACTACACGCCGCCGCCGCCGGATCGGGCTGGATTACTCCAGCTGAGCCGGGCAGCCCGAGCTGGCGGCCGCGTCAGATAGTGCGGCCGTCAGCCTGACCAGTCGGGTGCACACGGGGCGCCGGGCAACGCCGCCAACAGGGCCAACAAGCCCCGCGGCAGTAAAGTCGTAGCCGCGTGGAGTTAAAACCAGTGTCGCGGCGGGGCGGGGCGCGGCGCGGCGGGGTGCCCAGACACAGCAGCGGATGCTCGATTGACTGATAACGCTCGCCACAGGGGGCACCCCACTCCGCGCCCCCCACCGCCCTCCCCGGCCTGCACGCCGACTACACCGAGCACCCCGTCTGCTTCTTTTCATTTCCGGGACATTTGACACGTGCAAATGGCTCCCTTCCAACCAACCGGCTCGTGAGGGTCGTCGCCCGACGCGGTGCCGCGGTGCGCACCCTCCTCAACCAGTACACGGTCTCGTTGTCCGACGCGGCCGAGGGGCGGCCGGCCAGTGCAGCAGCGGCGCACCTCGCCGGCTAGTTCGGCCGCTCCCCCCGCCTCCCCCTCGCACCGCGGGGGCCCGGCCAGTGCCATCAGGAGCAGTCTCGGCGGCCTCGGCGGCCAGGCCTTGGGGGCACCCTGTGGCGGCCCTCCCCGAAACTACCAGACGGGTACCATCTCGGCGAGCCCGGAGCCTGCAGACTGATTCCGAGAGTCGTTTTCGTCACTCCGCCTCCCTCGCACTCGGGCGTCCCGTGTAGGTTGACGAGAGAGACAGAGCGACGAAAACGACTCTCGGAATCAGTCTGCTGCTCCGGCCGCGTCGCCACGCATCGGTAATCAATGTGGTGGCGGTGGAGGCGCGCCTCAAGGAGGGCAAACAGCCGGACCGGGCGCATCTCCATAAAAAAGAAAGACGGCTCCTCAATCTCGATATTCCGCGCCACCACTGCCAGCCGCGCAAGCTCCTATCCATCCCGCCGAAAGACGCGCCACTCACTCGCACACTGGCAGGAAAGCCGATTCTGCCGGACCCCTCTCACTCCCACTCACGGCGCGTCCAGGGTGCGTGCGAGCGAGACACACGGAGTGGCCCGCGTGCCGGGGCACTGCGAGGTACCGGGGCCGCGTTCCTCTTTGCAGGGCAGGCAGCCAGTCTCGGAGACGTCACCCAAAAGCCGTCCAAAGCCGCGAGGAATCGCCCAGGACCGCCAATTCTAATTGGCCGTAATGACGGCAGAGAGCGAGGCAGCTTCCTTTTCATCCCCCTCCCCCTTCCCTCTTTCCTTGTTGTTCGCCAAAGTCTCTCCACTTAATAAGGCGCGCCGATAGAGAGAGAGAGAGAGAGAGAGAGAGAGAGAGAGAGAGAGAGAGAGAGAGGGGGGGGGGGGCGGCCACAAACTTAATAGGTTTCAGGGGGTAACTCAGTCAAGGTTGCGTAGTCGCAGGGAAGAGGGGAAGCGAAGGAAAGAGAGGGGGGGGGGGCAATCTTGTTCCTTCGCCTGTCGCGCGACGCCTCACCCGGGCTGCCTTTCAAGTTGGCCCCCCCGAGAAGGAGAAGGAGAAGTGGAACAAAAGGCGTCCGTCGACGTCGTCGGGCAAGGCACCACCACACCACCAGACGCCATCACATTTTCGCAGAGCAGAATCATCAGGCAGGGCCGACATTCGGCCGCGGGGTCATTGCAAAGGTCCATCATTATTACAGTCGGCGCACCTGTGGGCGACGACACACACACACACACACACACACACACACACACACACACACACACACACGCCCACGCGCACACACAGCGCGGGAGGGAAAGTGGAAGGGGAGGAGGAGGGGGAAAGGGGGGAGGGGGGCTCAAATAGGCCCAACAACATGCAGGCCCGTGTTTGCGGCCCGGCATGCACAATGTGTGCCCGGGAACGCCACGGGAAGGCAGGCGCGCGCACACGCACGCACACACACACACACACACACTCACACACACACACTCTCACACACAGAGGGCCGCCACGCCCGCAAGCAGACCGGCGACGCCGTGGTCACCAAATTGAGGCCGCACCGCCAAAGGCAAAGGTGATGGCACGGCTTTTAGCGAGCGCGGCGCGCGAATTAAACCTCTAGGGTGGCCCTGTGCCTGCTCTTCGACCCTCGCATTATGCTCTGCAAAAGAATTACAACCATGGTGTCACTTTCGCGTTTGTTTGGCCGGGTCGGGGACGGCGATGAGCGTCGACACATCGTGCGACGTACACCCCCCCCCTCACACACACACTACAGTGTGCCCCCTGTACGTCCCTGCAGCGCAGCGCGCAAATAAACACAAGTAAAAACGAAAAGCCGAAATAAAAATATCCCCCTGACAATTGGTTTTGCATGTTAACTCAGTGTGTGCGCGCGGCAGTGCGGCAATGGTCCCCCTCGCTGGTCCCAGGTCGGCGCCCCATCTGCCTCAATTCACAAGCCGACCTCAGATTAAGCCGCAACACGGCAACGCGCCGCACGCCATCATGGACGCCATTCGTCGACGGGGACCTGCCGGGACCTGTGGGGACCACTCGGGGACCGGCATCGCGCTTTTAGACCGGCCGGAGGGGGAGCTATTATCGGACCATCAACGCGTGGGACAAAAACCTCGCAAAAAAAGGTAGAATAGGAGAATGTGTTGAAAATGAACATGGAAAATCGGGTGAATAACGAGACCCAAGTAGACAGTAGTGTGGTGGTTGGTGGGTGGTGGTGGTGGTAGTGGTGGGAGTAGTAGTGGTGGTGGTGGTGGTAGTGGTGGGAGTAGTAGTGGTGGGAGTAGTGGTGGTGGTGGTGGTGGTGATGGTGATGGTGGTGGTGGTGGTGGTGATGGTGGTGGTGGTGGTGGTGGTGGTGGTGGTGGTGGTGGTGGTGGTGGTGGTGGTGGTGGTGGTACTCCGGGTGATGGACACACACGACGCTTGAGACGAGGGTGCGGGCGTTCACGTTCAGCAAGGCGGCCGTCACCGCCATGTGCCGTGCCTGGGGCGCCGTACCGCCGTTCCGCCGTACAGCCGCCGTCGTGGACGTGACACAGCCGCTAATACCTCCGGCCTGGCTCTCCCGTACCGCTTGTGCCACACACCAGCAACCCAACCGCACAGTGGGCCAGAAGACCGGAGGAGGCGGACACGCGTTTTGAGCTCTAGTGTCGCTTAACAACGTTCCTCCTTCCTCCTCGTTCGGAGAGCAATCCATTGGTGGGGTCACACGTTTGCTTCGAGTCCTATAGCGACTCTGGAGCTCAAAACGCGTCTAGAGGTTGGTCCGCCTCCATCGGTCTTCTGGCCCACTGTGAACCGCCCAAGGCGCCCCGCCACGCCAAGCCAGCACCGCAAGGCACATTTCATCCCCTTGCCGGCCTTCGATACGCGATATGGCCCGAGAAAGGCGACATCGCTTTCCTTGGCCAAGGCGTCGTTTCCACCATCGCGCGGAGCGAAACGTGTCAAGGTATCAAGCGGCGTTTGGGGGCTGCCCGCCCCACGCCCTGCACAACACGGCACACACCACGCCACTTCAAAGCGCGGCCGGCACCGCCAGACTCACTCCATCCCTCTCGCACTCGCAGGGCGCCCCGAAGCACCGCTGGGGGTGCGAGAGAGACAGAGCCGCGTTGTTGTTCGGCGGCAACCCGCAGCAGCAGAAACAAAAACCCACCGCGTACACACGGCAAACAGCCGGCCGGGGGAAAAACTGCGGCGAGGCGAGGCGGGGCGGAGCGGCGTGTCTGCGGCCGGAGCCAAAGCCTTTGCCCGGACCTACGTGCAGCAGCGGCAACTACACTGCGAGAGAAAGAGAGCAGGGCAGGCCTTCAGGGTTCGGACGGAACTACAGACCCCAAGGAGCAGATTAGCCCTGATTGAAGATCGCGAAACAGGGAAAGCCTCTCACCGGCCCTGCAGCCTTGCGGCAGTGTGGCGCCGTGCCACCGCGCCCTCCGACGCGCTGCCGCTGCGCTGCCCTGCGCTGCCCTGCGCTGCCCTGCGCTG